GTCCTCAACTGTGCAAAGTTTTTTCCTCGGTAGAATTAATTATACTTAAAAGAAAAAATCTTACCACTACTAAGCCAATGGCTGGCTTGCTGAGAGTATTATTGGTACTTGTAGGTTTCTCATGGTTTCTCTAGTCCTTCTTCAAAACCGACCGCTTCCCCAAGCCATTGATTATTTATATAATTACTGTAATCCTTTATGTAAAGGTTTCTCCTAAAAAAATCAAGGTAGACCAGAAAGGCTCCGATCCTCAATAATAGATTTGCGTTGAGGGTCCTCAACTGTGCAAAGTGTTGTCTCAATAGAAATATCTTACAGCAATACTACAAAGCCAATGGCTGGCTTGCTGAGAATATGAATGGTCATTGCAGGTGTCTCTTAATTCATCTTCAAAACTGACAGACCCCTGTGCGTTGAACCGGTTTAAACCAAAGGCCACTTTTTGGGGTTTGAAGAAGGGGGCGCTTAAACCACTGGCTCTTCCAACACCACGGGGCCGCACAGCACAGCTACCAAGTCCTTTTCCACGGGCATCACTCGTCAACCCCAATGTCATCTTCTATGTCTTCAAGCTTTTTTCTGTTGGTTGGTGGTGGCTCAGACATCTTCGACGGCTGAGCTTGTGGATTCACTGCGGCAGGCTTTGCTCGACGGGCGTGTGCACTTGGTAAATTGACGCGCTCTGAAACAATCCTTCCTAAGATCTCTGAGTCTGCAGATGCCTGCGCGGCAAAAGCCAACAAGAAGTAATTCGCACATGTGTGCTTGGGAATGGCACTCTGCCAGTGTCTCTCTAGTAGCGTAGCACATCATGCGAGCTTCTGGAAGAGAATCGACTTGTGTCTTCAGCTCGACCTTGAAGCCGGCCCGCTCCTTCTCAACGTCCACGTCACTTCTCACTGGCGTCGGAGCACCGAAGCGGTTGAATAAGCTCTTGCGCCCAGCCAGTCGTTTCTCTCGTTTCCCACGCAACGCTTTGGCATTTGGCTGGTCAAACATCTGCCTGCGCAGGGCATAGCACTGCTTTACAATCATAAATTGGTGTGGAAGGCACCAAGGATGTCAAGACGCACTGCAAGGTCGGAAGTTAATATATCACACTGGGCCCAATTACGTCTCGCAGGTCCAACATCCGTCTTCCATGCCACTTGTCCATCTTTTGCCGGAACTGGGCGGAATATTTCATCAAGCTTTAAAAACTCTGCATCATGCGCAAAGTTGAAATCTGTTCTCCCCCTCCGGATTTTGGACCAATGTTCATGTGAAACTTGTTTCCTTCTTTTTTTTTCTGCTGATTGGGATGAAGGCTGGCCCCCTGTAGCCATCATCATTCAGTGCCCATCTACAAAGAGCCCTCGCTCCACATCAGAAGGCAGCTCCCATTCCGACTCAGTGGAGTCATTGTCACCAGCAAGGCCCAGCTACATCTTGCTGGGCACCAGCTTGGTACCACTCCCGCTCCACAGTCAAAGCCCAGTTGCGGCACATCCTTGGCGGATAAGCCTGGGCCGCTTGAGCGCGGTTGCAACCCCCTTCACAACCTTGGAGCCATGGATGGGCCACAGGGTCATGAAGAGAAGCAAGGATCCATTTGTGTGCAGTTGGTCAAGACCTTATTGCCCTTTCGCACTGGCAAGTGCTCAGCCAAAGTCACCAAGCCAAGCACCACACCAATGCAGTCAGTCGGGTCACTGGGCCCATCCAAGGGTGTTCCAAGATCACACGCCGACCAGCTTGCACTTGCAAGTTGAAGACAGTCATAGCAAAATGCCAAAGCACGAAGGACTCGACGGCCTCATTGTAACGACGCTGATACTTCTCTCCATCATAAGGCTGGAGGTTTCCGTCACCACTTGGCCTGGACTTCGGTCAGCATTTAGTCAGAAGTCAGAAGCCCACACGCTCCCCAGAGAGTCAGCGTCACTGACTCAATTGGGCAAAGCAACAGGATCATTCATCGCCATGACCAAAACACCACAAAGCGAGGAGTGCGTATGACCGTGTTCCAGCCAAAACCCCTCATGAGTTAGGATTTCATTTTCCAGCCAAAACCACACTGACCCACTCCAAGGAGCGGGCGCGGCCCAAAGAGCCACCCAAGCAAACCAAGAACCAACAAGCAGGTATGGCCCAAAGAGCCACTCCACTAAACCCAACAAGCAGGTCATGGCCCACAGGGCAACTGATAAGAATGGCTGACAGGCGCAACAACTTTTCTCACAGCGACCTTTTGAAGGTCCTGTGTGCACCAAGCAATGCATCGAGCCGATGAGTCTCTGCCTGAGCAAGGTGGCGCACCAGGCTTGTTGCAGCCTCTGGCTGAAGAAGCAACCTCTGGCTGAAGCTCCCGTGCCACACCACTCAGCGTCTCGAAGCGGGGCGCTTGCCTACACCAGCTTTTGCGGCTACTTTAGCGTGCGCAGCAGGCCGCTTGCATGGGGGCGGAGCCACAGCCTCATCTTCTTGCTCCGGCGGAGTCAAAGCCTCATCTTCTTGCTCCTTTTCAACGTTCGCTTCAGCCTGCGCTTGGCGAGACTGATGTGCAAGCTGTGGCACATCACCAGTGCTCCGAGGCTGTCCTCTTCCGATGTATGGAATGAGGGGCAAGCTACCTCTCGTTGGAATGAGGGGCAAGCCACCTCTCGTTGGAATGAGGGGCAAGCCTCCTCTGGTTGGAATGAGGGGCAAGCCACCTCTGGTTAGTTTATGGCAAGGCAAGTTACCAGTTGATCACTATTGAAATATTGATATAACCACAGGGAATCAAGGCGAGTCATCTGTTGATTACTTTTGAAAAATTGGTATCCTCAGACAACAACACACAGTAATGCCCAAACCCTTACTTTCACAGAGGAAAAAAGACCATTCTCATTACAAAAAATGTCGATTCTCACGAACAAAGATTTGTTTATGAATTGTTTGGCATCGTGTCTCACAAGACTCAAAGAAACAAAACCAAATTACAAACTGATAGCGATGGGCCTCCAACCTAAATGCAATGGGCTCCATCCTAAAAGCAATTGCCTCCAACCTAAAACTAATGCTCTCTGAAAGCAATGGCCGACAACCCAAGAGCAATGGCCGCCTCCAACCTAAAGGCAATGGCTTCCAACATAAAGGCAATGGCCTCCACCCTAAAAGCAATGGTGTCCATTCTAAATGCAATAGCCGCCAACCTAAAAGCAATGGCCGCCAACCCGAAAGGAATGGTCGCTGCCAACCTAAAAGCAATTACTTCCAACCTAAAAGCAATGGTCTCCAACCTGAAAGCAGTTGCCGCCAACCTAAGAGCAATGGCCGCCTTCCAAAGCAATGGCCTTCATCCTAATCGCATGGACTCCAACCTGATAGCGATGGCCTCCAACCTAATAGCGATAGCCTCCTTACCTAATAACAATTGCGTCCATCCTAATAGCCATGGCCTCCAACCTAATAGCAATGGCAGCCACCTTAATGGGAATAGACTCTAGTGGAGATGAACACCTTCCTTTTGGCCTTGTACCCAAAAGCGATGACCTCCAACCTAACAGTGATGACTTCCATCCTAATAACAATGTCCTCCACCTTAATCGAAATGGCCCCCATCCTAATAGCAATGACCTCCTTCCTAATATCCACGCCCTCCCATCCCAATAGTTATGGCCTTCATCCACATAGCAATGGCTTGATGGCCTTCATCCTAATAGCAATGACCTCCCATCCTAATAGCAATGACCTCCATGCTCAGCGTTGACCCCCATCCCAATAGCAAATGGCCTCCTTCCAAATAGCGATGGCCTCAGTCGTAATAACATTGGCCTGCTGACTAGTAGCGATGGCCTCCATCCTACAATGGGAGGAACTTCCAAACAATAGAATCCACCTGCGTTTGCTTTTGCTTTATACTTATATATATATATATATCATGATGCTAGCCTTCCCCGCTGCAGAAGTCCTGCTTGAATATGTTTAAATGAAGCAATCGGAAGAGAAGCTGTAAACCTGCTTTAGAACGTGTAAAGTTTAGACGGCGTAATCTTTAACCGTGGTTGCAACGACCCCGCTGACAGCTTCCCAAAGCCATCAATTACTTAATCAATCCTTTTATGTAAAGGCTGCTCCTAAACAAATGTTCAAGGTAGTAGACCAGAAAGGCCCTTGATCCTCAACAATAGAGTTGTTTTAAGGGTCCTCAATTGCGCAAAGCTTCTTCCTTGGTAAAAAGTAAAAAGTATATCTTAATACTACGAAGCCAATGGCTGGCTTGCTGAGAGTACTATTGGTAATTGTAGGTTTCTCATGGTTTCTCTAGTTCTTCTTCAAAACTGACCGCTTCCCCAAGCCATCAATTATTTAATTAATCCTTTATGGGTTGAAAAGAAATGAAAATGAATACTACAATCAATTGCGAAAGGAATTCTACCAGATTTGTTTTGGTGGTAGTTTATTATAGAGGCCCTCTCATTTGTTTAGGTGGGGAGGGGGATCCCTTTTACTAATCAGGATCAAACATTAAACGTCCTTCCCAGAAACGGTGACAATCTTTTTGTCAATTGTTACTGGGACATACTGGCACACACCTTATTGATATCCTCTTGTCCCAGAAAAAAGCAACCTGACGATCCCTCGTGGCCTGGGCTCCACACCCGTCTCCGCCCGGTCTCAGCGGTTTGGGCACCTTTTTCGACCGTCTCTGAGGCGCGTCCGCCGCGGCGGCGCTGGAGCGAGGTGAAAAATGTGGAGCACATGCACTGCAGGTGGTGAGGAGCGGAAACGAAGCGTGCTCCGCTGTCTTGGGTGGGATAGACACATGTGTCAAGTGTCCTTGTTTTTGCTTTCGAGAATCATCCATCTTGGAAGGTTGAGACCGACCTCGCATCGACATGTGGCATGGATAGCTGCTAATAGAACATAGTAGGACTATATACAATCAAATCTTTCATCGCAGACACATCTATTTCAGGATCATTGGATTCCAACCCCTTTGTCTGTGCTGTATTCAGTATGTCATCACGTTGTATCCCCCAATCTGAAAGCATTCAGCCCGCAGCATCGTGCTTCTTGAATGATCGTTTGGGGCGATTTGCCCAATACTTTCAATCATTCCGTGCGCTTTAATGCCCGGCAGGACTCGGCGAGGTATGCTCTCCTGACGCCAAGGGGTCGGCATTCGAGCGCATTCGAACGTGCAAAAAAGAACATGTCCGTGACAGGTCGGCTGCCAGGATTTGCCAGGAATGTAAAGAAGCTAACCATTGACGAAGCTAAATCTTGCACACTTGGGAAACAAAAGGTACATATGGGAACATCAAGGAACATCCAATTTGGCAAAAAAGAATCAAAGGGGGGTTTGGTCTCCCAAGTGCCGATCACCATCAAACCAAGTTTAGACTTTTGTCCGCAAGGAAATCTCGATGTCCCCGCGAAGATTGATGAATCCATCCGTGATTGATTGCACCTTACAAGTAAGTGTTCCATAACATAAAAATAGCTTCCTGCTTTTTGCGGTGTTTGCATGCAAACCATCCTTTGGGAGTCGTTTTGGTGTTGCTTTCTGTCAGGCAAGTCTCTTCCAAAGGCTGAAGAATTCTATTGTGGTACTGCCTTTGCACCAAAAGCTGCTGACGAGGGCGTTCCATCAGGCATCAGCCAATTGCAATTCTTCTCTCATGTCATTTAGGGCACCGGTGTTCCCTTTGTGCCTTTGCGGCCTTTGGCATGCTTTTTTTGGGTTCCAAATGAAGCTCTTTGTGGCGGCACCCTTTTGCAGAAAGACGAATTTGTACCCTCACCAGCCCACTGAAGAAAAGTCACGAACCCGAATTGACCAGGTGATACGAGAACAGAACCCTAGATGCCCCAGAACCTGAAAAAGGAATGGATCTGAACTTTGAAAAATGAAACATATCGAACATTTGTTTGCTTCCACGAAAGATCCCTCTGCTTCGTCTCGTCTGCTTCGAAGCTGCAAGAGCTTGGCTGTGGGCAGCGGTAAGTCTCGAGGAACGCCTCGCAGTGAGAGAACGAAGAAGGCTTCGCATGGAAGGTGTAAAAGGATGCACGGAGTAAGCTTGTGGAGGATCTGTATCCCTAGTGTTCCTACTACTACTCTTCAGATAATATGCTGTTTAAATAATAGAAATACAAAACACTACTATACAAAAGAAAGTGAGTCAGTGAGTGTATGTATATATATATATATATGAGTACGAACTATGAGACTAATACTATACTGATCTGCATATAGTGCAGTGCCCTCTATCGATTCAGGTCAGCTGACATGATGTCAGCGCCAGGCTTGCAGGAGACAGCAGGTGACTTGACAGTGCTCGCCAATCCAACAGCAAGTAACGCTAGGCCAGCATGGAACACACGGCTCTTCGAAACGACATCGCCTCGCCTCCCACCCAATACGTTCGCCGTGAGCCGCGTTTTGCCCGTCATATGCATGTCAAGTGGCCGATTCGGTCCCTCAAGTAGGCCAGGCACAGGGACAGCTGAGGCCACAGCTGCGGAATCGCCTTTCGGAACACGTGCTGAAAGGCAGGTCTGAAGGAGCAAGAAGAATGTGTTTCATGGGGAAGGAGGCACCCAAGGAAACATGTTTCCTCACAATGTTTCTGGGATCGCTCAAGAAGTGTTCCCTGGGCCCCTGGGTATATGATAGTTATAGTTATATATAGTACAGTATGTAAACATAGCTATATGAATGCCAAAGGCAGCCCCCACTGGGGCCTCTCCCATCCCACAACTCGGTTTTGTGACGATCTCCAAAACATCTCACGTCTCTGCGGAACCTTCGGACCGTCTAGACCGACGTCTCCGTCTCGTAGCGGATGTTTGTTTAGCGGATCTCCGCGGTGGCGCATGTCGTCGGTTGGGGCCGCCTGAGCGGCGTCGCGCAGGCGCAGCTGGACCTCTTCAGGCTTGGCCTCTTCAAAGGTCACCTGGAGGCCAGGCCGGACGTTCGCTGGACTCGGATCTCAGAGGGCTTTTTGGAAAAGTCTTGATTCCGTGGTGTACAGTAAGTACACAATGACAAGAAAGTTGTGAAAGTCACGGAATTCTATCAGGCTCCTCTAGCATTTCGTCTTAGATGCTCTAGGAATCATACTTTCTTGAAGAACCAGGGCTACTAGCTGAAGCTTCTAGTTCCGTGGTGGTGTTTTTGGGGCCGCATCGTCCTGGCAAGTTGGAAAAGTAGATGTGAAGCATTCAGGCTCCAAATGGCGTGTCCTGCTATTGGAATGTCACCCTCACCCATGTGAAGAGCCACCTCAGTGAGATGCAGGCCAGTGAAGAAGCAAACTCTGGACTAAGCAAAAGATTCCATGGAGCATATCTCTCAGTTCTCTTCAGAGTTCCCTTGTCCCGTTTGCTGAAGGAGCTCCCACTTGGTCTTCAACCGCATCAAAACCTCCAAAAAAGTGCTCAGAAGCGCTTCTTCACGGAAGTAGTTGGCCCGGTGGTCACCAGCCGCCACTGGCCTCCGCCACGGTGCAAAGCAAGACTTCCAAGGGAAGCAGTAAGGGCTCCAGCACGGCAGCCTGAAAAGGTGCAGATCGGATTGATAGAACTGGGATCCGACAGGTGAGCACAAGACAGAACTCTGACGCCAACTACCGGAGTGACCCTATTTTCCAATCCAACCTCCTGAATAAAGTTAGACGTTCTTTAAATCCAGACCATGGCTTTTCCACAAAAAGAACATAGAAACACACATCGGACCACGCCTCCGGATCCGCCAGTTGGGACCGATCCCTTCGGTTCCGCGCCCAGAGTCCCAGCTGCCCTCCAGCTGCACGGCACATGTAGCGCACCTGAGGAGAAGACAAGTGCGGGTGGGTGACCGGTTCTCAGCACGGCGACCAAAGGAGCAGGACGTTTTCGGAGCGAATGTCTTGGTGGTTCAGGTCAGCCGCATTAGGGTTGCGGGTTTTGTCGAGTTTCCACCAGCCAAAAAGCGGTCACTGGCTTGGACCATGGTGGTAGGGGCCTCATGCAAGTCCTCATATATTTCCTTGACATCTTCATAATGCCTAGCAGCCCATGAAACTATCCGGCATGTAATTATCATGGATCATTATATATAGTATATATCCGATATCCAATTAAAGTCCTTACACATCCACCAGGTGCCATCTGCCGTGGCGCCAAGGAGTCCCGATTCTTCAGCAGTGCCCAAGAAGCCTTACACATTGCCGGCTGCTGCGTCGGGTTTCGGCAGGTTCGTCGGTTGCTGAGAGGAATTCGCCCGAAACTCACGAGGTTGGAGAACCCTGGCTCGTGGTGTTGGAGCAACTGTCCCATTCTTTGGAGGAGTTCTGCCATTTGAGAGAAGGGTTGGCACCGGGGGACCAACACGAACAAAGCGGTGTCAGTGTTCTTAACGATCAAAACCACTCAGAAAATCTCAGGGTCACCATGACACCATGAGATAGTAGCAGTGAACATATCAACTCAACCCAAGCAAAATGAATTTATTCAGCAACTCCAGGGTTCAGGTGTTGTTGAACCACTGTGACATGACATCAAGGCAAGCCTCGCCTCTACATGATGCAGCCGCTGGGTGCGGTCGGACTCCAGCAAGGCTTCCATGTCGCGCCTTTCAAGGCCGATGTGGACGGGATGATTCGATACTCGGAGACTGAAACCCGTGGAAATACCGAATTGGCTGTTATTTGAGCTGTCCAGCGCCAACTCTCCCCCAAGTCTGCCAACTCTCTTGGCAGTTTCTGAGTTGCAGGTTCATGCCATTGGGACTTTCTCGTGACCGTGCAATGGCGGAGGGTTACTTCAACAAGATGAACAACCGACTTGAGCTGCCTTTTGAGGATACTTTTTGGGGGGGAGAGCTCTTGCGAAACACGACGTGAGACTTGCACAGGTTGTCAACAGCCGAGCAAATGCGTGGATTGACGGAGCCAAGCGGCTCGAATCGGAACGGCAGCGGATAATTCCTCGGTGCAGGCGGGGTCTAGTGCATGCCTCATGAAATGGCGCGGGGCGAAGGATCTGCACAACACGGAGCAATGGACCACTCGTAAAGATCTAGATCCCCTTTGCAATCCGCGAATTGTAGCCATACACTACAATGAAAAGCCGACCAATCCTCATCAGTTGTCCGAAACGCTCTTGCGTTTTTGGCTTTTTCAAGCCTTCGGAGTTTGCCCTGCAGACCTGTCGGGGGTCTTTAAAGGTGGCGTATATCAATTGGCTCCATCTGAGTGTGTGTTTTAAAAGGGAGACACCCAACCAATGTGCCAATGGCTTTTGGCCTATTTCCCTTCTTCCACGGGGTCAAACTGGGAGATCTCCCTATGTATCATGCATACACACCCATCTGTTCCAGTCTCCCCAGGTTGCTACCCGATGCTCGAATACATCACCGAACACCCCAGTCCTGTAGCCTCCCTTCCAATAAATCCGAGCGGCGCAGGCATCAGCTGATCACGGATCCGCTGAGATCTCTGCAGCATCACAGGCACAGCTGGCCCATAGCGTGGTGCCAGCGCCATGCAGTGGCTGCAGGGGCGATGCTGAGGAGGGATCGGCCACACCAAAAGGCGGAAAGTTTGGATGCATAGAAACCAGCTAGAGATCCGACCAGGAAAGACCAAAGACCGAAAGGGAAAGACCAGGTTGGGTGCGGCTCTGAAGTATGAGGTCTTTGTTCGTGTGGGCAATTGCATGGGCGGCTTGCTACCTGGAGGATGTGTGCTTGCATGGGTGATGTAGTGATATAGCCACTCACATGGTTCTTGGGGGGCACAGCCTCTCCAAGTCACAAGGACTTACAGCAGATGCATCCCGCACACAAAACTCAAGCGGTTTGAGATTCTGCAATTCTTGCCAACAGGGGATCCAATGTGTAGCAAACTACAACATTAGTGCATTCATATATATGTATACATATATATAGAGAGAGATGCATTGGTTCACATGCTCGCATCTATTCGCCTCCTTTCAATGGATGGCTCTCAGGTCTAAAACTGGCGGTACACATGATGTGCAAAGACTGGTCAAATAATTGATTTAAAAAAGTAAAAAATAAAAATAAATATATATATATATATATGGTCTAATATGTCTAATCCCACCGATAAAACCTATAGAGTAAAACATCCGCAACATGACGTGGGCTAGCAAACAGTCAATGTATTGTGTTTTATGATAAATAATCGAAAGAAGAAATCCTGCCATGAGAAAAGGGTCAAGTGCACAACTCTGATAGAGCTCACAAACTGAGAGACTCCCACAAACCGCGGCGGAGACCGCCTGTAGAAGTCGCCTTTGGTCGCACGATACCAGGGCAGTTTCTCCAATTCTCCCAGCCACTCGTCGATGCGTGGGAACATCTCCCGCAGATCCATCGCCTCAACGGCTTTTGGCTCGTTCCGCCGCGGCGAAGAACCCTGGTGGAACGATCGTGCCGGAAGAACTCCCAGTTCGATCCCCCGGAAAGAAGTGAAATAACCCAAAGTTGAGGGTCTCCCTATTAAAATACACCATCGCCTGGCAGGTTCACCATGACGAATCCCTCTTCTCAATGGCATAGCAGCTTACGCGCCCCAAAGACCAAAGCTTCTCCCGCCCTGCGACACAGGCAAAAAGATTCGTGCAAGCCTTTCGAGGGGGTGGGAGTCCTGGGGTGCAGTGATTCTTTTGCAAGATCAGCATTTTAGGCTTCTTCTGCTACTTTCTTCAACTAGGGTGATGCCCGACCCCTGATCTTGCTGGCCAAGATGACTTGTTCCAGGAGTGTCGCTGGGACGCTAAAGCCACCACAAACAACGCAAGAGATGCAATCTGGTGGAAAACGGCCGACAAGTCTCACAAAAATTGCATCAATCGCCCTCTGTATCCCTCGGGATATAGCAAAGAAACATGCCATCTATCCATGAACTTGTTCCAAAAAGTTCGGGCATGTACGCCCCCCCACTCTAAATAATTTTGCATCGTCACCTTGAAGAACATGGCGCTCGCAACGATGCGCTCCATACTGCAGACATACTGGATATCCACGATGCTGGGGTGCTGGTATGGCAAGAACCAGCGTGTGTCACTGTTCTCCTCAGCGAGTCGTCAGTGCGGATCCAAGCGCACAACACGTTCAAGCTAGCCCAATGCAAACCAAACAAAATATGCAAAGCACCATACCTCATGCTACCAGTACGAAGCGTGCACTTGTTCGTTCAGCTGTCAAGAAGCACCCAACGAGATGGCTTTGAGAAGATGGAGAACCATGAGATGGAGAGAGCAACCTGTCAAACCAACCCGTGAACATGTGGCTGAAACGGAGGCTCCAAAGCATTCTGGACCTGCTCCAAGGCAGCTTGAAAGTCCACCGCACTCTCGTTCAGGAAGGGCTTTTCCTGCGGTCGCTCTAGGCGGTCGCTCTAGGCAGTCGCTCTGGGTCTTCGAGTGATGAGTCCGGTCGGACACTACCCCAAATGGATCACCGATCAAGGAACGAATGTCCATGTTGGACAAGGGCTCGTGCATGTGCACCCTGTGTGTCTTTCTACACCTTCTGCTTCATATTCAAACATGCGCTGTCAGAAGAGTAGTTTGACAGTCACACTCCCATTGAGCTGTGGCGAGGGCTTTTGCAAAGAGTGCCCGGTCTGCTGCCAGTGCCCTCACTCCTCCCCCGTCCCACTCCTCCCGGAACATGTAGGTGCCTCAGACAAAGGGGCACCAGCCAGGAAATCAAGGTTCGCAACAACTGCTTTTGAGAATGATCTTCCTTGAGATACAAAAAAAATGCTTTCCTTGAAGGGCGTGGGTTCGAGCCCCACCGCTGTCAATTATGCAAACACTATATATTATATACAGTATATATTAAAGGGTCCCCATGTTGCTGCTCTGAGGGGCGACGCGTAGTGTCATTATTTTAGCCCGTGACTCTTCCCCACTGGCCCAGTGTCACAAGGCGCCACAACCATTCCATTCCAGCACGCTAGTAATAGAATGGACACACTGGGGACTGTGCACAATGCCTTCCGCATGCAAAGCGGATGTAGTACCACTACACCATGTGCCCTTGAATATGGCCGCACTGCCAACAGAAAGATCCATGGGTGACTGGGCTTTGGAAGGATCATCTTCCCCTCGCCCTTGGTGCTGTGGATTTCGGGATAGACAGGGGCCGTGGCATTTCACATCGAAAGATCAAATCAAGTACATCCACAGCATATCCACTTTTTCTTGCCTGCTTTCACTTCATGTAAGTAGGCGCCTACTTAATTAAGTAAGGAGGTAGGCTACTAGCGATAGGAAGCTCCCAGCTACGACGCCGGATGGCTAACGCTTCTTCAAGGGAGCTGCCCCCGCCTGAGGGCGGGTGGGAGCTTCCTCGAAGAAGCGCTCGCCCCGCACTGCAGTCTCAGCTTGCTGACAACTGAACAAACCCACCAGCCCCCAACCGTCCAACGAGCAGCTCCAGGCATTCATGAGAGCTCGGTGCAGCTCCAGCAGTTCCAGAGCTCGCAAACGGAGCCGGGAGAAGGAGGGGAACATCGGCTTCAGCGGGTTCGGATACAGATGCTCCAAGAGGAACATGGCATCCTCAGCTGACACCAGCTGACACAGGCCGGCCAGCTGAGTCGTCGGCTTGCATGGACGCGCAAGCAGTGGACTTTGGGGGGGAGCGCAAGTCAGGCATGTCGGAGATCTTTGGGGCAGGGGCCCAACAGAACATACAACTGAAGTGGGACCCTCTTGGTTTTTCACCTGGCCTATTCTTTGGTGCTTTGCAAATGGAGATGACCCACCCGTCTTCTCCGCAAGACAACCATCTGAGGAGATGACCAAGCTGTTGGTAGCCCAACGGCCCCGCGCTTCGATCGCCGGCAGTGATCCGCTGGGAACCTGGCACGCAGACGCGGCGCCGGCCGGGTCAGTCAAAACTCTGGACCCAGGTGATGGCAAACAGGACAGACCATGCTCGGTCCATCTTCATGGTCCTGAGATTTTGTGGGTCCGTTCAATCACAAGAAAGCTGAATGGCTTGAACGACCTCTGCTCCCATCCTCAGACTCTTTAGGAGTTTGTTGTCTTCCCTCTCTCTGATTACAGGAAGCAAAGGGGAGGTGAGCATTGAAGTCCTCAGGCCAGGAAAAAGAACACTGGGCCGGGCCTAGGTGATATAGTTGCGCTACCTATACAAGGCCAAGAAATGCGGGGGGGTGGGAGGGGAAAAGAAACACGGAATCTCCAAGTGTCAGGCCTGAAATCGGTGAAACCACAAGCTCCAAGGAACCAAGCACAACCTCATACCGCTGTGTTTTATGGGAAGCAGAAGAGACAAACAAAGGCAGCCCGAAAGTCCCTCACATGAGCTTGTTCTCAAGTGGGTGGGTGTGTGTGTGTGTGTGCTTGCCTGCCTTTTCAGTGGAAACATGATGCAAACCTGTAGGTTTCATGACCCGCACTGGGTTCACTCAAACTCAAATCAACATTGCCAATTTCCATAAGAATCTCCAACAGCACCAGCATCCTCACAAGCTTTCGGCCCTGCCTTCCTTAAGAATTCCTCAGACTTCCTGCCATGGGCACGCAAGTCTTCTTTCACCACAGTATAGTTGATCTCTTTGGCTTCCTTGGCACAAGGCCGAGTTCACCAAATCAGATGATCGAGTTCAAAGTCGTCAACAAGGAGAGCCAAAAGAAGCGACGCGACTATACAGTCCAAAAGAACCCTGAAGCTCCAGCCAGCAGAAAAGGGCGTTCAGATCTTGTTCAGAATCATTCAATCTGTCTTTTTACTTGAATTTCTTTTATGTATAGATGATTGACAAGAAAAGTATCTGGACTACCTCACAACCCAACGATCATCGTCTCTTCAATCCTGAAGCCTGAAGCCTCAGATATCCTTTTCCATGCATCTTATTCACACATGACACATCCCTCCGCTTTTCCGCAGACCGCGCGAAGAAGCATCCTTCGAACCGAGAGGCCAGCAGCAGCCACACCGCCTGACAGTCCGGGCACAGCGCGCTGCCGTCCCGGTAGAAGGTCACCGGCGCGTTTGGGTGTGAAGCCGAGAAGACGCGCGCCTGTTGGGCGTTGGGAGGGAAGAAAAAGGAAAGAAACATGGGCGTCACTCTTCAAACTCTTCAAAGCAAATGTTTTATTGATATGTTCCTGAAAGAATGCCTTCATTTGAATCCGAATCTCAAAGACTCTCAAAGTGACGAAAAGCTCTGCTGAAAAGCGGACGAAAGCGACTCGCCCCCGCCTCCGTATCCGGATGGCAGCGCACACCTGGAGCACAAGGCGCAGGTTGAGCCACCGACCATGTCACTGATGCCGCTACAGACAATGGAGGCTCTCTCTCCAAGGCAACAGCTCATTCATTTGCTTTGAAGTTAGGATTCCCTAAGAATCTAGGAACCAAATCCTTAGTGCGAGGGCTTGTTGAAGAAAGCTGCCACTCGCCCTTAGGCGTGGGGAGCTTCCTTGAAGAAGCATGAGCTATCTTGCGTTCAGATGTAGTACTCATAGTACTCCCTTACTTATATAATTAACTAAGTAGGCAAGGAAAGAGAGAAACCATGGCTGCCCAAGAACATCGAAGCTCAAACATCGGAGTTGTTTTCTATTGAAGGGACCACATTGAATGACTCTTCAGGGACGAAGACTTTCGGACGAAAAAGGTCTCTCTTAGAAAGGCCACTGTCCACCAAGTTCCCAGCGGGACCGACCTGGGACTGACCTGGACCGGTGGTCGATGGCCATCATACAGCCAATCCATTCTGTCTTGTTGAACCTCCCGGATAAAACGATATGATCCACTGAGCTGTCGAGGATCTGAGTGTACATGCGTAGCCCATGTGTACTAATGGCGATCATCCCAGAAACATTCTTGAGTGGAAAGTATCACAGTTGATCGCCAACTTTGGCAACAAAGACAGGCCCATGTCCTATTGCAACTTGAGGAGCCGTCTTCGGGAGAAACACGGCATCTGTGGAGTCAAACCACGAATCAAAGTCCGCCTGTGGCAATCTCTTTCTCAATTTGGAGCAGGTCCTGCCAAGCTGGGTGTGCCACTATGTGTCATTTCGCTCTTGCATGGGGGGAGGGGCTCCGCTGGATTGTCAAATGGGCCTCAAGAATCTATGCAAATTCAAAGTGCCCCGTGTACCGTATTTAGTAGACTGTTCATCTTTTGCGTCCAGAGATTGCAGAACTGCAAAACGAAAAGCCTTAGGCAGCTCACCGCGCCATTTACCAGGGCTCGTTCGCTTCACCAGCCCAAACAGCCCAACCCACACCCAACGAGCCCAAACTTCCCATGTGACCTGGTGGGAGCCATTCATAGAAGCAATGGCCTCCAACCTAACAGCGATGGCCTCCAACCTGAAACACGAAAATCTCCTGGGAGACCTCCGTTTCCATGATTTCGATCCTCGTTTCATGCGGGAAACTTCGGAGTTTCCAGCTGGGCCGTCTCGAGTGTTCAAGGTGTTTGTTTTCCTATATATATATATATATAGTATCGCCGTTTCAATGCAATCGTCTGCATGACATGGGGGTTCTCGTGGATGTTACTGTTTCAAATCAAAATGCCCTAGAACAGGTGATCAAGTATACTTCATCATTGATTAGGCTTTGCCATCTTGGTCTTCCCAACCTTTGCCAGCTCGATACTGCCTCACATAACGCATGGTAAATTTTACACAAACGTTCGGATCAGCATCAAGGTATCCTTGGCTAATCTTTATCCTGATCTTTGCCAACCTCAGCATTTCTCAAGTTTTCTGCTTTTCACCTCCATCACCTGCAATCCCCACCACAACAACAAAAAAAACTCTCAATCTCTCACCCAGCAAACCCCACCAAAAGCTGGAAAGGCCTTCGGCCAAGGAACTCTAAAGCTTCCCAGCGGCGCTGGAGATCCGGCGCCCGCGAGCGGACGCACACCTGCAAGCGATCAAAAAGAAGCCGCTTGGCCGAAAGCAACAGAAGAGGCGCGAAAAATGCGGGCCGCGAAAAAAGAGGTTACCCTCTTTGGGAGAAATTGAACCTAGGAAGAGTCAAAAGTGGAAGCGTTCCAATGTTTGTTTTATCCTGAACAGCTTTCGGTGCCAGTGCTACTGTTTCTGAAAGGTTCTGTTTCTGACTGACTCGCTCCTCAAACAGAAACTCTGTTGACAGCAGAGAGCTTCAGCCGTTCTCACGTGTACCGCCTCGGACCGCACGCCGAACTGCTTTGGCCGGCGCCGCGCACGCTGGAAGGCGGGACGAAGGGCCTTCAGGCAGTCCGCGCATTCGGGACCGCCCTGGGAAGGCGATCTTCAATGAACCTCCTCTATCAACAGGTATTCCAATGCTTCGGTAGAATGGGGGAATCCCCCAACAAGCATGCTTGAAGCTTTGGGGTGATCAGCAGACTTTTGCACGCTAAGCCTTCTTTTTTCACCACCCAAGAACAACCGCCGCGAAAAACGGGAAAAAAGTAGACACCATACCTAAAGGGCCCTGCCATCGGCGCAGGGGGATTGATTGGCAAAGACTCGCACGGACTACACATCCCTACCATCGCTGAAACCTGGCGTCTCGAGTCAGTGAGTCTTCTCGAGTCAGTGAGTTTCGGACAATAATCCATCTGACAAACAAGGTCTTCGTGCGGGGGGGCACACACCAAACAACATGAGCATCCTTCTCCTGCCCACTTGCAACTCCACATCTTCTTCAGCATCCGTCTTTGTTCCACGCGGCCACCGCCAAGCCCAGGGCAGCTGGGCGAGAAAAAAACCTCCCGCCGTGCCGAAAAACCTGGCACGTTGGATGGGAGTAGGGAAGCCACTGCTAGACTGCTGAGCGCTGGTTTGTCTAAGGGTCTAAGGGACTTTACAGGGTGGTCAGGTGGTCCATGATCTCTTCATTTGCGTTCGTTTTTGCTAGTTGTTCATCGTTTAACCTGCCGAACCCCGTGAACACGGATGACGGACCTCGACTGAAAACGGAACGGGGACAGTGTGATGCTTGGATACTTAGTAGGCATTGTCCGGCAGGCGGAATATTGACATTTTGGCGAGGCTTTGCGACCCGGAAGCTGATTTAAAAAATGTGTTTCTTGAGGGATCTTGTGGCAGCGGGGAAAAACAAAGCAGCAGAAAAGACGTTGAGATGCCCTTGTTGAGCGATTGTAGCGAGTGCAGGAAAAAGGGAAAATATCATCCACTGTTTTTCAATATTTCTGAAGATCGAAAAGTCGCGCGTTAGAGTCGTTTGAGATGATTATTAACTGGGACACCTGGCAGTGTCTGCAGGCCGTTGCGAGAAAGCACCAAAATCAATATGCACTGACAACATCTGCAAAATTGTCCCACCCCAAGTTTTGACACCCCATGGGTACTTGACATTTGATACACCCGCCTGGCCGCCATGAGATTCTCGCATCGCCCAGCAAGGTCGGCCGTATCCGCCCCAGTGGCGCAAGCGGAGTTCGCGGCGGGCACAGCGCCATTGGGAAGCGGGTGGGTCATCCCATGGATATTTTCGAGGTCAGGAGTGCCAGGGCTGTCTGAAGAGTGGGATCAAAGGAATCAACAAGGATCATGGACGGACCAGCTTGTCCAGTTTCCATGGTTGGATTCCTCCCCACGTCCTCCCAACAATAAACAAAGACAAAGCTGACTTTGCAGAGTGTCAGTATGTGTCAGTTGGGTGCGTGCTTTTGCCGATCAAACAACATCTGAGATAACGCTAGTTTTGCCAGCGTTATGCTTGCCAGTCTTGTTCAGGACTGGGGCAATCCCTAGTATCCCAACATCTGCAAGCGACTGTCATGGTCCATGTGTTCAATTGCGGGACCCGACTCCTAGTCTGGTCGAAAGGCTGCGAATCCCCATGTCGTTCTGGTCGAGCAGCATAGGTTGTGGTTTTGGAAAAGCAAAACTTCGCATATTGCATCGCCATACTTTTTAAGGTTGCCTCGCCACGCGCCGTCTTCTACCTTTTCCGTTCTCCATATTCTCTTCTCCTTTCTCTTTCTCTTTCTCCTTTCCCTCTCCCAGCCTCGTCTGTCTAGTTCTCCCACACACACACACTCTTAGTTGCTCAATTCCCAGGAAAAGTGGCGATGGAACCGAAAGGTGAAAGGGTCGGAGCACTTGAAGGTGTTTGAACAATTGTTTGGTGCAAGTCTGCAGCTCCTATGCATTAGCCGCTTTACTGAATACCTAGCAGGCCGCCGATGCATTAGCCGCTTTACTGATTACCTAGCAGACCGCCTATGCATTAGCCGCTTTACTGAGTTGCATGGTTAAACAGTTAATGAAAATGCAGGTACGTTTACACGGGTCCCACAGGAGGTCTTCGTTGGCCACCGCTCCTCTGGGACCCCGGTGGCCCCCTGCTTCTTTGTCTTTTTCTTTTTTCTGCATCCCTGTCCCTGCCTCTTTGTTCTTAATTAGTAGCGAGGCCCTTGGGTCTAGCGGCTTCTAGTTGCTAGTAGCAAGGCCAGAAACCATTAGTAGCATCCTTTCTTCAAGTGGGGACCTGCTGCATGCATACTTACCGAGCACGAACCTTGGAAACAGGTGTTGACACACACATTATGCCACAATCGGCGCTCTGCACCCCTTGCGTTAAACAATTTTGTTCAGAAGCTTTGTACACACAATGCCGATAGCAGGTGCCGGAAGATTACTGGTCACAAAAAGCCTTAGAAACAGAAAGAGAAAACGAAGAGGGCAAGAGAGAAAGATAGGAGTAGTTACGAGGCCGACTAGTTACAAAGCCTGTTAGTTACAATACATGCAGAAGCTAGCGAGCGGGACCCTTGTCTTATACCGCCCGGGTAGCTAGAAGTAGGACAGGAGAAAGAGAAGGAAAGGCACCAACACACAAGTGTGTTGAGTGCGATTTCCTTCTATAACCCTAATAACCCTAGATAGCGGGTGGGATAGCAACAGAGGCCAGGGGCAGGGAGGGGAGCCCGAAGGCATTGCCATCACTGACATTCAAATAAAGCCGATTTAGGGCCGGCGCACCCTTGTCGGAAAGGCACCTGGAACCTAAAGAAAGGCCTCAAGAAACGAAAAGCAACAGAAAGAGAGAAAGAGCCCAAGAGCATGACAAGCGCATGCAACAGGAAAAGCTACCTAGCTGCTAGCTTGGTCACCCTGCGACATGTACCTCAAAAACCGCATGGGTGAAAATCATGGAAGTGTGGACAGTAGCGTCACTGGTCTCAAAATGGTCATGGTTGGTAACGTGGTGCTGTACACTCGAAATCGAAAGCGAGCTGCGAAAATCATGAAAAACAAACGTGAAGGTGGACCAAATCCAATCAGGTAGAAATTCCGTGAAGCCCGGCGGCGTAAGTTGCAGGGAATACAAGGGTGAGACCAAATCAGTTAAGAGAATCCAGAGATTGTATGTTCACATCTCTTTGTCTTCCCCTCTCACTCTCACTCACTCCCTCACTCTCACTCTCCCTCTCTCTTTCCTCTTTTCCTATCTCTCCCCCCTCCCTCTCTCTATCTCTCTCTTCTCGCACATTCTGAAACGAAGTGTATAACGAGTTCAAAAAGGGCTCTTCCCATGACAGTTCGCCATGTGTCTGAGGGATAACGCTCGATAGTCTAGCCCCGCAGCAAGAACAGGAAAATGGACCACCTAGCCCGTCAAGACAGGTCCTGAAAAAGAAGGATGCATTCTGCGGAAATCATGGGTCTGCAGGGTACGCTAATCGCTCATTTGTATCACGTTGGCTCTTTGTTTGCTAAAATGCCGCTAAAGATCAAATAAAGGTCTGTTAAGGAACAAACAATGTACCAAAAATCAAAATCAGCAGGTGTCCAGCTTCCATGGTTGAAAGCCCCTTCTATTCGTTCCCAAGAACACGGCACCATCCCCCACGTCGGCGTACCGGAGGACGATGTGGCACGGGCGGAGCCATGGGAATCGGCGGTGGAGGGCCTGGCCCGGTCAAAGCAAGGATTGGATCAAAAGAAACTTTTGAGTTACTAATAGGAATGGCCTCCACCCTTCTAGCGATGGCCTCCACCCTTCTAGCGATGGCTCCAACCTAGTAGCGATGGCCTCCAACCCAAGCAACCTATATTGGAACTTTCTTGCTTGCACAAAAGTGCCTGTGGCATCGGCTGTGGAAAGAACCGATACAGCCGATGGGGCGAAGAAACGGACTCGGTGGGTCACAAAAAGAGTCAACATCCTCGTTGTCTAAATTGATACACTCCTTCCAAAAACTGATGGAAGTGGACAGGGTCTTTCCAGCCATGTTCTGCTTCCATGATGGTTGGAGGAAGGTAAATATAGATAGAGATGGTGACACCCCTGGGCGTTTTGGAAGACGTGTCTGGAAAGGATTGATTTGTTTCCTGGATTTTTTCGGGTGTTTTCAATTCTTGAATGTTTTCGCGTTCTTTTTCTGAGGGTGCTTTACAAGCATCAGCAGCAGCAGAAAGGTCAGGGGACGAAGCAGCAGAGCCAGCGGGAGGGAGAGAGCGAGACAGTGACAAAAGGAGGGAGCAGAAAAGGCATCCCACTTAACGAAGGAGAAGTAGGAGTGAGGAAAGAGGAGAGAAGAACTATAGGAGGGACTTCTTTGCGGCTGTCTTTGGGTTTCAGTGGTTTCGGGTTTCTTTGGGTTCGGTTTCTTGTCTTTAGGGTTTCTTTGGGCACTTCTGTTAAGAGTTCTTCGGCTTCTCATATATAATGTATACCTGTCAAATCACTTGACGCTACCAAGACATGCATGCTTAATATATTTAACTTAACTATTATATGCACCGCGGAGAGAGAGAGAGAGAGAGAGGGAGAAAGAGAAAGAGAAAAAACGAAGGAGAAGGAGCAATGAGGAAAGTGGAGAGAAAAGCCACTATAGATACTTTTTTGCGGTTGTCTGCCGGCTTCGAATCTTTCAAGACTTCTTCGGCTTTCCTCCTCTAAATTTTACCTCGGGCTGTGGCACCTTCCTCCTCTAAATATTACCCTCGGATGGCTCACAAAAGGTAAGCGCCGTTGGCATAGCACCTTCCGCCCCTAAATTATACTCTCGGGTCTCGGGTGGTTCAGAAAAGGTATGCGCCGTTGGACTGGCACCTTCCTCCTCTAAATTTTATCCTCGGATGGCTCGCAAAAGGTATGCACCGTTGGAATAGCACCTTCCGCCCCTAAATTATACCCTCGGGTGGCTCGCAAAAGGTATGCACCGTTGGAATGGCACCTTCCTCTAAATGTTACCCCCGAGTAGCCCACAAAAGGTCACAAAAGGAATGCACCGGCACAGGCTCTTTACTGCAAGCAAAGCTGGCCACTTGCAGCAGCACTTGCAGTGCTTCAAGCTGCCTATTTGCAATTGCAAAAGCAGAAGCAAGAGCAAGTGCAAAAGCAGCAGCAAAAAAACAAAGCAGAAGCAGGAGCAAAGGCAAGAGCAGAAGCAAAAGCAAAAGCAGAACGCAAAAGCAGAAGCAAATGCAAAAAGCAAAAGCTAAAAGCTAAAGCAACAAGCATAAGCAAAAGCAGAAGCAAAAAGCAAAAGCAGAAAAAACGCCCCCAAAAGAAACGGTAAAAAATAATAAAATTAACATCCCAGAGAAATACCGGTTCCGTCGGGAAGTGTGATGGGTCCTCTCCTGACATTGAGTAGACCTGTACTGTAATGAAGACTGAATGGACACTCCGGTTCACCAGGGGATCCTGGTTCCGGGACGTCGAGTTCGACCCGGTGGAATCTGGGGTGAATGCATGTGGGAGCAGTAGTCCAGGGTCTCTCCTCGGACTCGGGAAATGGTGCAGACAAGTGTCCCAGTATGCCTCAGAAAAATAAGAACTGAACCAGTTCACCCGGTTTTCTCGAGTTTTGAGCAAGCAAATGCCTAAGACTTAGCCCGTATTCCGCTAAATCGCTCACCAGACCACAATTTGGAAAGCAGAACGGCTCTGAATTGACACTTAGCCCAAGAATGAAGAACTGGCAAATAAAACTCATCTGGAGACGTGAAACATTTGTTGAGGACTCTGAGCACGATTCACCCCTCGCGGGACAACCAGGTGCAGGCGCAGGGTTCCGCGTTTCGCGTTCCGCGCGGGCCGGGAAGTAGAGGGGGTGGCATGGTCATTGGTACCTGGAGCGACTGTGGACATGACATGTCTCTCCTGGTAATGTATAGGAAGCCAGCAGTTGTAGAACTCTTCTAACCCACCCTTGCCTGGAGGAGGAATGATTTGCTTAGGGGAAGTGACAAGATACAGCTCATCAGCAGAGTGCGGTGAGGAGAGGGTTCCACATGACTGAGTCGTCCTTGAGAGCCCATCTACTCATGACTGAGAGCTATCCCCAAAATCTCCTCTTTTTGTTACATATTCCAAGCTGCCCCTTGCTGATAGCATGAATTGGTTGTTCAGCCCACCTGTTTCATGCGTGGTGCCCGGCGACCGGTCGTGGCAAACACGGCCGCCGAGGCGGCACCGCTGCAGCCGCTCTTTTTCGGAGTTTGGGGTGTCGGGTGTCTCCTCATAACGAGATAAAACGCACCCGCAGCGAGACGAGCGTATTGAAAGTGCT